GTTTACGACCAACTTTTAGACCCAAAATGGATCTCCAAAAATCATAAAATGAGCAATGAGCACAATTTCAGCAGATGTCCGCCGATATGCCCGAGTTCGATGATTTTCCAAGGCTCTCAGAAGATTATTTAATATTATTTAGTTTGGGTATTTATCAAATAAAGCTATATAAAAGCTATTACGGCGTGCACATCAATCCAAATGGTGTTTTTACGGTCGAGCTTGGCGACAGACTTTTAACAGAACACGTCAGAGAATTGGGAGAAAACGTAATAATCGAGGAAGAGTACAATCTCGGCATGTTCGGGCCAGAGTATATTATGTTTACATTGGCATCGACTCATCATTGAGTGGCCGTGATGCCATACCGTATTATTGTACCACACGTACCACACTATGTGCATAGTGTGGTACATGACGTTCGCGAGACACCAACAACCTCCCATAAAGCCACCTGCATTAGGTTAAGAAAATATTATCGTAAGACCTGCGGAATTATATAATATGAATAAAGATCATATTTCGAACATCTAACATACAACGCTATCTAGTTTCAAACTAAATACATACATATCACACATAGCAAACACCCAAACTCCGAAACATATTCTTGCAGATCACACAAAAATTTGATCCCACCAGGGAATCGAACCCGAGACCTCAGCACAGCAGTCGCATACGACCATTGCACCACGGCGGCAATCAATTTGAGTAGCTCGAGCACCAGGGTCACTTAACCTTCGTCAATGTCGCATACCTTTAGGTATCCACCGATATCATCAACTACGTCTCAGATATCTAACGACAAAACGGCAATGAAATATCTTTTTACACGTTTTTCGCCCACTATTTCATTGATTTTGTTTACATTATCATTTTTTATACGGCCTGGAATCAAACCTGTCATAGGTACTAAATTTTATTTTTATTACATTATTGCGACGCGATATAAGCAATTTTTTTGTTGCCTTCATTTCTTCAGTGAATACAATTGTTATTGAAACATATGTATATATGTTATAAGCATAATTTCGAGACACTGTAATAATTTGGAGATTTACAAATAAATAAAATTGAAGTGTCTGTTTGTAATGTACTACTTGGGATATATTTCCTCTCAGAAAAACCCTATATAATTTTGCCCGGTCCGGGAATCGAACCCGCTAAGGCAGCGCTTTTCAAGTTCCTCGCGTTCCTCCTATGAGTGAGTATGAGACCTATAAGTGAGTGAGGTTACCGGAGCTAAATCCTCCCTAAAAACTCCCTCCTATTATTTCTAGGGCTACTTACTCACTCACTCTTGAATTCCAGGTTCCTATGGGAGCCGGATGCCTAACCTAACTTACTTACCATCAGATAACTCGTCTATTACCCCCATAACATCAAAAATATAATATTTTAATGTAATAATATAAAATATAATATTTTCGGACATCTGAAACAACGCCACCTAGTTTTAAACTAAGCAGAGCTTGTACTATGAAAGCTAGATTGACTGATAGAATACTTACATCCTTTTTTTGTAAATACATACATATTACACATAGAAAACACCCAAACTCCGAAACAAATATTTGCAGTTCATACAAATATTTGGTCCGACCTGGGAATCGAATACGCTACCACTGCACCACCGAGGCAGCCAGTCCAAAAAAGACACGTACCTTTGAAAAATATTAAATTTTTAACACTAAAAAGTTTTACTTTCGAAGGAATTGTAATCATGGGATGTCTCGACAACCGTTTGGAGCCAACATCCTCATATTTCAGCAGCTAAACCTTTGTCTTATGAAATCCTGTGTAATTGAACATGGCGAACGTCGAAGCGGTTACGCTTGCTATAATCACTGTTCGCGGTGCGTGCTCACGATTACGTGATTCCTAGGTACATAGTAGGTAGGTAGGGAGGGAGGTCGCGTCAGCTAGCGACTGACGCAGGTACTTATTGGGCATGGCTGATTTGGTGAGTACCTGAATCGGATTGGACGCGAGGAGACGTCACAATGCCAGCACTGCATAGTCGACTGGGATTCTGCCCAGCGTGTGCTGAGCGGAATCCCAGTCGGCTGCGCTGCTCGGCTACGAATGTCCCAGCTTATATACTAATGTATATAAGCTGGGATAGCTTATAGACAATAATTAAACGATGATCGCTAGAACTGGCTCCGATGTGAACTCTCCAGTCTAGTATGTGCACGCCCCTTGTGTGTAGAGTCAGATCAATATTGGACTCCCCGTTAGCGGTGGTGAAGGTGTGCGGTTCACCGGCGGCATTCGCGATGTGAAGTTCTCGCGCCAAAGCTATCCCAGCTTATATACATTAGTATATAAGCTGGGATAGCTTATTAATTTAGTATATAATCCTCTACGTGAAATATAATGTTCATGTACCTAGGAATCCTTCCATCATCAGATGTGTAGTCTATCAAAAGTTGGCTTTTAATTGATGTCATTTTAAATATTACAACATTTGGCACACGTTAGATTTTACTTAATAATAGATATATTAATTTAAAGACCGACAAAAACCTGTACGGCTGTCTTATCCCAATTGGACAGAACCTCTGTTATAGTATTCAGAATACCTATAAACATGCATAAATATATTTTTACACATACATACCTAGTGCGGGATTTGTCTCTATACGGTGTCACGGGGTTGTTTTCAAACTGTATGTGTGTTTTCAAAGTGAAACGGTCATAAAGAACACCCAGATTAAGAACGACAATTTGTGGATTACACAAAGTGTGAGAAGAAGCCGTCGTGGCTTCTATTCCATCTAGAACAATTAATTGTAATCTGACCTATCAGTCAGAATAACAAACCTCTAGACTAAGTGGCAATAAAAACTGTAAATGATTTATACCACTAATTAAGCAACAACCATACAGTCTACTGATGGTATAAACAATACTTAAGCTTCCTGAAAATAAACACGTAAAATAGCTTATTATCTAAAAAAAAAATCACTTTCTAAATAGTTTTATTGCAAAAAGAAATCTGCGCTAAATTATGGTAAAACGCTATTACTTGTCGTATACGCAATAAATGAAAACTAAACCGAGGCTCAATAAATTATGTTACTCGTATTGAACTTTTATTAACAGAAAAATGAAATTTTAATTAAACATTCATTCATTTATTAACACTAAGAAAATTCAACTTATGCATCACTCATATAAGTCTCAGTACTTATATGAGTGATGCCCGCTAGAAGCCGTTGAATGGGGGCAGCTCAGAACCTGTTGTTGTGGTGAACCTTGGTTTACCCCGCCGCAAACCCCGGAGGGGTGACGGTCCGAGGGGATTTCCACACGTTAAAAAAAAAAGAAAAAAAGGCCTATGTCTAAAAATAAGATAGCTTAATCTTCAGTGACCTATTTGTTACACCTATATACAGTCATCCGTGTGGTGACGGATTAAGAATACAGAGTGTCGCCACCCCTATTCATCCCGTGGGTATCGTAAGAGCCGGGTACCAGCAGTGGACTAGTAAGGGCTGTTGATGATGATGATGATGATATACAGAGTTACTGGTTAAGTCGACTAATTTCGGCCCAATTTTGCTGTTGTAAATAATATAATAATGCACTAACTAGTAATGGGCATTAACGCTAATTATAATTTAATTAATTGTGAATTCGTATGTCTAAAAATAAATATAAGAATATAAGTTGTAAAAAAAAGTAAAATATGCACAATTTACATTTCACTCAACAAATTATTTATTATAATTTTAAATTAGCTATTACCCAGCCTATAATTGTTAAATGTTCCATTAAACAAAAACAAAATAAAATTGTACTAGGCAAAATTTCTGCAAGTTTTATAAAAGTCCAATATTTTGAAAATGATTAAGTTGGGCATATGGTATTTCATAGTGAAATCTATTAGAAATGATGGCAACAGGTTTTAGTTGGCATCATTTTAAAGTAATAATATATTTATAATAATAATATTTATTTATTTCCACAAATAATTACAGTAGTTACATAATTTTTACATTAGCTGTATAGGTCTCAAAGGAAGGTAGTGATCCCTGACTCTTAAACTAGGCATGGCCTGTATCTTAAGAGGCAGTGTTCAACCGAGATCTCATTTACTTGATTCTTGTAGTAATTGTTGCTATTGGTGGAAATGTTTAGACTTGGTTATTGAAGTGTGTGTGAAAGAGAGTCATCTTAAAGTGTCTAGGTCGACTAACCAGTAACGCTGTACATAAGAGGGACATGTGATAACATTGCCAGGACAATCTGTACAGATTTTCGCTGCAATGCGATATTTTCACAGGATATCGAATTAAAGGTTGCTCGGGTGGGAAACTAAACACGATCCGTACTAGGGTACTATTCCGTACTGTTCTATAGTTTTTATTTTAGTTAAATATTTTCGTAAGGAATTTAAAATACCGACTATACGAGTAGTATTTTGACTGCGGAACGCCATAGTATGTAACAAACAAACGAGCAAACAGGTTATTCTGATGGTAAGTGACTACCTATCCCTGTGGTGACGGATTAAGAAGACAGGATGTTACCACCCCTATTCATCCCGTGGGTGTCGTAAGCGCCGACTAAGGGAACAAACTACGTAGGGCAACAGCACTGCAAAGAGTAAGAAAACTTGAAACTAACCCTATACTAACCCGTCTGGCCAGCGTGGTATAGTAGGCCAAAACCTACTTTCCAAAGAGAGGCCTATGTCTAGCAGTGGACTATTAAAGGCTGTTGATGTCAAGTGACTATCGCTGGCCATGTACGCCTGCAACTCAAGGGGCACATATACGTTCCCACTCACTGAGTGCATGGACTTGGAGTAACGTCACATCACCAGTGAAGTACAATGCACCTCAGTATACTTCAGTTCTTTGTGAGGCCTTGGTATCACAGTCAAAATAACCCAAAATAATTCTGAAATATGGCTCTCCCACAAGCAATAAAATCTTTTTAGATACTTTGTGTTTCCATGAAATAAATACAATCTTTTCTCATATCATCAGGGTGATATAGAAGCATGGACCTTCCAAGACATCGCATTTAAAGCGGAGTTGGACCGTCACGACGATCCGGAGTTAGAAAAAGAAGCGTTTATATTATGTGCAGAAGAACCGGCTGCCAGAGCAAGAAACATAGCAGAACTTAGAGACTTAATATATGGTAAGTAAGGAAGTGAGTTATAATTAAAATTACTAAATATTAAGTAAACTCGAGTCCATGTAAATTTCTCTTTCTATGTTTTCGGTGTCATCATTTATCCAAATGTAATGGAGCCAAACGGGAACTATATTCTCCCAAAAAATAATTAAAATTGTTTCATAAATGACAGGTCCTACCCAATTTTTGAAATCGATAAAAAATTAAGTCATACAAACGGGAACGTACAACCGTAGCTAAGAGTAAAAAAACGGTCAGGTACGAGTCGAACTCGTGCGCCGAGGGTTCCGTACCTACCCAAATTTTCGCAAAAATATGCAAATACCAAAATTGATTTTAATTTTCAACTTTTTTATTTTTTGGAATTATTCCTTTACTTGTGCTGTAAGACGTTTCTTTTTGCCTCGGTCAACGGGAACTACCATATATGTAGGTTTTCGACCCGAAGCCTATAGGGTACTTCCGGTTGACCTAGAATTGTCAACTTTGTATAAAAGCAAGGTCTCACAGCACAAGTAAAGAGAAAATTATGAAAAATAAAAAATTAAAGTAAATTATGGTACTTACAAGTTTTCGCGACAATCGAAATTTGCCAATATCTTTTTAGCGTGTTGACTCAGGACCTTGATTTTTATACACCTAATAGGTACCATAAACATCAGTATCTGGTATAAATTTCAACTTGCTAGGTCTACCCGTTCCTGAGAAAATCTGTGGTGACACGCGGACAAACGGACAAGAAAGTGATCTTATAAGGGTTCCTTTTTTATCTTTTGAGGTACGGAACCCTAATTAAGTCATACAAACGAGAACATACAACCGTGGCTAAGAGTAAAAAACATGGAAAGCTATCAAGTTAGTTGAACCTGTTACAGTGGAGAAACTGGGCCTATAAAATAATCATTTTGCTTTAACACACCTTCAACTTGTTAACATCTAAAATGGTAGCAGTCGGTCATGCCAAACTTTAGTATGTTTCTAATCAGTACCTACCACTTCTATCATCATCATCATCAGCCTATCGCAGTCCACTGCTGGACATAGGCCTCTCCCATTGAAAATCATTGGCTCGAAATTTTAGATTGTCTCAGATGAGAAGTTATATGCGTTCTCATTTGTCACAAGAGTCGCAAAGTGATAAAATCCGTCGACTTAATCGGATACATGAACATTTGAGTGGGTGAACGTTTGAACTTACTACTTCTTTATAACAATTGTATGTTAAAAACTTATACCAGAAAACTTTTTAAGTTCATGGTACAATTCTATGTAGGGTTGGTTGGTTGGTTGGTAAGTTGGTTTAGGGGTTCAGGATTTATTAATTAGTAATTTAACAAAAGTATATACTTTATATTCATAAATTCGTTATTTCCGCGTACGAATTACTTTTTCTCTGAATCATATTTACATAAATATTTCTTTAATTTATCTTCTATTCCATCTCCCTGAAGGTTGTACTAGAAGATTATGCCTACTTTAAACTTAAACAGTGTGGACCTTAGTCCCAAAAATCGCCTCAGGACCGTGGTTAGAAATGAAACACACGCCTAAGCGAGGATAATTTTTATTAACTTAATTGACATATATACAATAGCCCGTGGTTTCACAATATCGCGACTCAGAAAATTAACACAGCGCCATCTATCGGGCTTAAAAAAAAACTAATGCACGTTATTCATTGAACATTCCGCCCACCATGGCCAGAATGGCCATCACACAAGATAATATCTTAACAACCAATCAAAACAAATATGGTTTCAACTTACACTAACAATTATAGGTAAATACTTGATGGGCACTATCAAAGCTAATGGACTGTATAACTTAAACACAATTGAAAACATTACATATTATGTATCTATAAACCTCAACTTACATGACTAAACACAATACAAATCAATGTTGCAGTAATTTATTCTGCAACTGGTAGCACAATTAGTTTGGAAACCGGTCTTTTTATTATAGTTCCCCTACAGCGCAAAGAAACAACTCGAGTGACTTTATCCGAGCCAGTGTGTTTCTCAACAATAAGACCGTGAAGCCATCTTGCCGGAGGTAGATCATCTTCCATCACCAAGACAACGCTTCCTACTGTGGGCTCTGAAATCTGGCGGGACCATTTGTGTCTTTGGTGGAACTGAGCAAGATATTCATTAGACCACTGATGCCAAAAATCTTGCACCAAGCGCTGTGTTAGATGCCACCTCTTTAACGCACTAATAATTGAGTTCTCGAAATTAGACTCGGGTACGAGCAACAGCGGTTCGCCTACCAAGAAATGACCCGGAGTTAATGGGCACGGATCGTCAGGATTGGTACTTAAAATGGAAATTGGTCTTGAATTTAGGCAAGCCTCGATTTGAGTAAGTACAGTAGTCATCTCTTCGAACGTAAGAGTGCTATTACCTATGACCCGCCTTAGATGGTGTTTAGTGGACTTCACCCCAGCCTCCCAAAGCCCTCCGAAATTCGGAGAGTGGGGTGGAATAAAGTGCCAGTCCGTTCCATTAGTGGCCAACCAGTCAGCAATATCAGGTGCTGCACCAGACCTTTCTTGGCTGAAAAGAATCTTTAATTCCTTATTAGCCCCTACGAAGGTAGTGCCGTTATCACTCCAAAGCTCCCTACAATGGCCTCGGCGAGATGTGAAGCGTTTAAAGGCCGCCAAAAACGCTTGAGACGTCATGTCACTGATGACCTCTAAATGAATGGCTCTAGTAGCCATGCACACAAATAGGCAGATATATCAGTTAGTGGAGTGATGACCGCGACCCTTCGTGGCTCTTACACTAATAGGACGCGCGTAGTCGACGCCACTATGGTAGAAAGGTCGGCTAGCATTGACCCTGGCAGCTGACAACTGCCCCATCAACGGCGCAATACCTCGGGCAGCATATCTAATGCAAGCAACACACTTACGTATATGAACTCTAACTGAGCTTCTAGCGTTTATGATCCAATATTGACTTCGCAAGTAATTTAATACTAGCTGTGCGCCACCGTGCAAGGTACGTTCGTGAGCATCGTTTGTTAAAAGAGTCGTGAAATGTGACTTATGTGGTATAATTACAGGATGTTTCATTTCTTCATGAATGTTAGCGTGCTGTAATCTACCCCCTACTCTTAGAATTTCATGTTTATCAAGGTATGGATTTAGTGAGCTGAGTTTACTTTTTTTGTTAATCTGTCCTGTAGTCTTCAAATCTTTTATTTCATCCCTAAAATGATCCATCTGACACATCTTAATATATGTAAATAGCGATTCATTAAATTCTGTAAATGTTATGAGGGCGTTTGATTGTATTTTGTTTCTATGCTTTAACTTTAAAAATTTTCTACAAATAGCTACTACTCGAACTAATCGCTTTAGGGATGAAAATTTTGAAGACACGCTATTTCCTTGGTTTTCCTTAACTATTACATTAAATGTTACATTTGATTTTGTTTCTTCTAAATTAGTTTCTTCCATGTTACTGTTGTTATAATTAATATTTTTATTTTTTAACCACTGAGGACCCTCTTTCCATAGTGTAAACTCTACGAATTCTGAACAATTCATACCTCGAGACGCGCAATCTGCTGGATTGTCTTTAGATCGAATATGTGACCACTGAGTACTTTCAATCGCGGTAAGAATTTCAGAAACCCTATTACCGACGAACGTGTTCCACTGACTGGGATGACCTCTCAACCAAGCAAGAACAACTGAAGAGTCAGTCCAAGCATGGATTTTATCTTTACTAATACTCAAGGTGCTCGAGACTTCTAAAAGAAGCCTTGAGAGCAGCACTGCGCCGCATAATTCCAAGCGTGGTATAGAAACCACCTTGACTGGAGCTACCTTGGTTTTGCAGGCCACCAAACTGACGTGAACAGTACCATTACAATCTACAGATCGCATGTACACCACAGCCGCATAAGCAACATTGGATGCATCACAAAAGCCTTGCAACTCCGTATGTCTGTCTGTTCGGCTGGTCTGAAACCATCTAGATATATGGAAGGAATTGATGTTGTGCAGCCCATTTCTAAAATTAAGCCAATCCCTCAATATACTATCCGGAAGCTCGTCATCCCATTCAATACCTGATAACCATACCCGCTGTATGAGTACTTTAGCCGTTGTAATAACCGGTGCAAGCCATCCCAGAGGATCAAATAATCGAGCGATGTCTGATATTAATCTGCGCTTAGTAACGGGTGTTGGCAGCTCCTTCAGGTGGACAGTATATTTAAATTTATCTGATTTTCTATCCCATGACAACCCTAAAATTTTCACAATATTATCTAATTTAAATTCTAACTTTTCCTTCAAGTCTACTGTCCCTTTCGTAATTCTATGCATAAACTCTTCATTGTTACTAGACCATTACTGGAGCTGGAAACCTCCTCGACTAAGTAACTCGTTCATTTGATTGTAAATACCTTGACCCTCAACGACCGATTCACAACCCGTGAGCAAATCATCAACATAGAAGTCTTTAAGAACACGACTAGCTGCTAAAGGAAAATTTTTCCCATCGTCAAGAGCCAGCTGCTGCAATGAACGTACTGCAAGATATGGAGCTGAGGATGTACCAAAAGTTACACGCAATAAACGCAAATGCTGTAATTCTGCATCCACGCCACGCATTTACGCCACAAAATACGTTGAAAATCAGTGTCATCCTCTGAAACCTTTATTTGGCGATACATTTTAACAATGTCGCCGACTAACGTTATGGGCTGGCGGCGCCATCGCATGATGATTTGGCGTAAATCAGGTTGTAAGGTAGGGCCAACCATTAAGTCGTCGTTCAACGAAACTCCATTGCATCCGAACAAGAAGCGTCGAAAACCACCCTAACCTTTGACGTGCTTTTATCGTGTGCATCTCCCTATGACTTCAGTGGCGACCTTTCGCGTATCCCGGTGACTTCGGTGGCGACCTCTCTCGTCTCTCATCAGTTCCAAAAGCTCGGTGCCTCCGTGAGCCCGAATATGTGTTATTGTACTTGTAGCGC